CCTTCGGAGACCACAAGTAATAATGGTGTGGGGTGGGGGAGAACTGAATGATAATAGGTGTGTGGGAGGGGTGGAGACGTTATTGATAAGTCCCAATATTGGCTGTAATGGGGAGGGTAAGATAGCATCCATCTTCCTGCCCCACTAAGTGATTACCTCTTGGGGCCCCACCACTACCCACTAGCGCTATTCTAGACAGTTAGTGGTGGGTCCCACTGACAAAACACTGACCCCTGTGGGCTGAGAATGCCCTTCACTTCCAACCCAACCTGGAACACTTTGAGTGTTCTCAAGGAGCACCAGTGACAGCTCTGCTGATGTCTTCCCACGGCTGGATCTGAGTGTGGCAGAGCTGCACAAAGCTGTCAGTCTCGGTCTTTCTTCCGGAGTCGCCGACGTCCAGTGGCAGGACAGAGGTAAGGACTGGCGACAGCCCTAGATGCCTGGCATCACCCATGTCTGACCAAGCGCTGAGCACTCCCCGGTGCCCACTTCGGCCACCTTCATGGCTGGTGAAACAAATTGTTCTCATCCGGCCATTCTGCCAGGGGAAGTCTTTGCATGCTCCTCAAACCGACAAGTTTGAGGCCCACTGGTTACCCTCACCCTGGCTTAGCCAGTCTACCGAGATGGCTTTACCAGGGTGTGGCCACCTCGTGTACTACAGCTGCTCGGTGCCACAGGTGAGAGCTGGGGGGCAGGTGGACACCAAAGGTGGATGAGCGGCTCTCACACGAGAGGTGCCGGTTCTCCCTGAACACCCCAAGTGTTTGTATACAGAAGGAGACACCGGATTGTTGGACAGAATGCGGAAGGTGACACAACATTGCATAGCTGCTGAAGGAGGAGTGATATCCTCACCCTGTCCCCCACGAAAGTTAGCCCAGTTTTTCCTTAAAAGGTACTGATAACATCTTGAAGACTTGATGGACCACTCAGCAGACTACAGGCTCAGGCCGACTCCAAAAGAAGGTGTTCTCGGTGTCCTCTGATGGTTCGAAATAGAACTGGGGCCAGGGTGAGGTCCCTCACAAAGGCTACCTCAAACCAGCCGAATGAACTTCAAGCAGCCCCAGTGCTAGCCCTGTGGAATAGCCTTCTCGTGCCATGGCTGAAAAAATTTATTTTTGTTCATTGATGAATGATCCAAGAGGGTCTCACTGTGTTCTAATATTATTTCTAAACTAGCAAGGCACTGTGCCTGAGTCAGGCCCATCCCAGAAGAGCCCTGCATATGTATATACTGTATATGTGTGTATATGTGTGTATATGTATATTGTTTATGCATGTGCATGTATATGCATACATGTATGTTGTATATGTAGATATGTGAGCACATGTATATGTTATATTGTGTACATGTGTGTTTGTTATACATGTATATGCATATATGCATTGTGTATATATGTGTGTATATGTATATATTATACGCGTTTGTGTATATGCACATATCGTATATGTGTCCATATGTATGTATTGCATATGTATATGCATGCATGTGTGTATATGTATGTATTGCATGTGTATGTGTATGTATTGTATGTGTATATATGTCTGCATATGTCTGTATTATATATGTATGTGTGTATATGTCTATGTTGTCTATGTATGTCGATGTATATATTGTATAAATATGTATGTATATGTATGTGTACACATTGAATTGGAGCCAGAGCTGCTTGGAGGATAGCCTATGAGGCTCCGGCTTCAGGAGAGAAATGTGGAGGGAGAAGCAGCAGAGACAGGCCTGGAGGAGAAGCGGGCTGCTTCACACTGTCTGATGTTGAGCTTGCCTCCCTAGAGGCTGTTCCAATGGATCTCCCTGGGAGAGATGAAGCCTTCTCTGGGTCTGAGCTCATAGCATCTTGCTTCTCCCTGAAGAGCTCATTCACTCTGATGCATCTCCTCATTCACGCCAACCTGCAGAACTCTGATTTCTGTTGGCAATTTGGCTTGGAGCAATGGCCCCCTCTTTGCAGGGGCTTGTGTGTATCAGGATCTCTTGAGAAGGAGATAAGCTGGGGAGGCTAAGGCCTACACTCCTTGATAAAGACAGCCAGGGAACTGTCTTTGCTTCTGACCCCCTAGATTGGAGGTATTGAGGGTATCCAAATGTTTTGGAAGCCCCTGTTTCCCAGAGCCAGCAGGCTATGTCCTGAACTTGGCACAACAACCCTTGTGCCCTGGACGATCTCACCCTCTGGCAAAGTGTTCCGCTCCGACCAAGCACCAGGTGTTCACTGCCGCCAATTTCCCAGGGATCTGAGAGAACTCCCATCACCTTGCTTGACTTGCTTGAAATCCCTGTTCCTCGTAACAGCTAAGTGAACCAAACCAGGTACTGCACCCCGCGATGAGACTGTTCCCACAGGACCCAGGATCACCTGCATTGTCCATGAACGAGTCTGCCATGGCAAGCTGCTGATTGAGACCTAAGAATGATTATGTCACAGTCCAGCCCACTTGGGATATATGTGCTGCCTGTACCCCAACACACTCAGCCCTCCTCAGGAAGGGGGGCTTCCTGGCTTACAGGACATTTTCTTCACCCTGAAATAAATTCAAGTGCTACTTGGTGTCCTGACACACTTGTCACTGGTCTGCTTGGTTCACCTCTGGCCATTTCCAGGTTAGAGACTGTTCCAATGTAGACTGCATTCAAAATTCTGTTGAGAAGGGGGAAGAGAGAATTCTAGCCTGAAACTTCAGAGCCTGGAGAAAGGGTGCTCCTGGGGCACGCTCCCCACCCCCAGCTAGCGCGCTTGTTTTTCAAAGGCGCTGACTTCCCACCACCACCTCAGAAGACCTGGGCCGGCTCATATCTAGCCATGGTAGTCATGTCTACACTACACATTTAGACAACAATCCATGGGCACGTACACACACATTCATACGCGTCGCTACCGTCATGATCCAATGGCTTCACCGATTTAGAGTTAGAAAGAACCTCAGAGATCACCCAGGTGCTAGGCCAACGTCTGCATTTTACTAATGAGGAAACTGAGGCCCAGACTGTTCCAGGTGCCTAAAGGTTAGTAATGGGATTGGCACCAAACCCAGTCTTGTTTGCCCACCTTCCCCATTCAGATTTCTGGCATTTCTACCCCTTGTGCATAACATGCACACACATACATGCAGACACTTCCAGGCCGACCCTGGAGGGCTCTGGCAGCCCAGTCAGGGCAGCAGGTTACCCCGAGGCTCCCTGGGAAGACTAGAAGCCTTACAGCCAGGTGCTGCGGCTACTGGCTTGGCCGGGGTTCTTTGGAGTCCAAATACTTTGAACGGCCTGGGGAAAGCTGTGGTCCTTGACTTCCCTCTGAGCCTCCCTGGGCAATAGGTCTGTGCTCCTAAAACTTCCTCAGCCCCTGGGAATGCCTGTTCCCTGCAATGTGTGCTGGATTTTACTAGGGAAGCTTGGAGGGTGGGCTTTGGAGCCTTCTCCAAGATGTCGGCAGCCTTGGGGTGTGTGTGTGTGTGTGTGTGTGTGTGTGTGTGTGTGTGTGTGTGTGTGTGTGTGTGTGTGTGTGTGTCCTTAGAAGCCTCCAGGACAGGATGCCCAAGGAGGGGAAAGGATGGGGGTGGCCCTGGGACAGCAGAGCTCTGGGCCTGCACCTCCTCCCAGGGCAGCCTGGGACCGTAGTCTGCAGTCTCCCAGGAGGAGAGGGCTCTGGGAAGGGTTCAGTGGGCAGTCAAGAGGGCCTTGTCCAGGGCCTAAAACCATCCATGGTCATCTTCCTTCCAGAAGGCTTGGCCTGTGCCTCCTTCCTAGAGATGCTGACCCACAGGGCAAGGGGGCAGTCCAGGGAGCTGGGGAGTGAGATTTGGTCTTTGCCCTTTCATCCTGATCATAGGACTGATCTTATCACATGGTCCCGGGGCCAGTTAGATGCCACCAGCATTTCAAAGCCCAGAGCCCTGGGCCTGTCCTCAGAAGCCCTGGGCACAAATCCTGTGTCTGTGGGACCACAGCTTAGCACAGCGCCACGTCCTTAATAAACCTCTTTTGATCAACTGACTTTGGTCAAGTCCCTTCCTTTGCCAGGATGCCCTTTTCTCATATATGTAATGAAGGAATTGGTCTCAATGGCCCTGAAACAACGAGGGCCCCTGAAGCTCAGGGCACTAGGCCAAGGCCTTGGAATGTTGGAACACTGAGGAAACCCCAGCCTGGGCCCTGGGGTGAAGCAATGTGGGCCAGCATCTATAAGTGAACATACGCTCGGTCATCCCAAGGGGGTGCCCGAAGCAGCTTCTGGTAGAGGCAGCTAGCTGCTATGGGAGTGCAGCTGCCTCAGACAGGCACTAGCTGTGTGACCCTGGACGAGTCATTTCCTGCCTCAGTGACCTTTTCTCTAAAATGGGGATAACAATAGCATTTACTTCCCAGGGTTGTTGTGAAGGTCAAATGAGATAGTAATTGTAAAGTGCTTAGCACAGCGCCTAAAGCACGGCTAGCCCTGTTAGTACTTTTTATGATTTTTAAGGTATTTCCCTGGGAGACTGTGTGGTGGGGGAGGGGACTGCTACGCAGAGGCTGGCTTTTCCTGTCCAATGGGAGGGGGTGGATTAGCCCGATCTAAGTTTCTTGGCCCCTGTCTGCCACTCACAGGGTGCACGTCAGGGCAGGGGGCTCGGGGTCAGGGGGTGGTGTGGTTGAGCGCAGAGCCTGGGTGGGTCAGAGGTCCCAGGGCAGGGGTGGAGTGGGGAGTCTAGGGTCCGGGCTGGGGAGGCGGGGAAGAGGAGCCCGGAGTCCAGCCGTCGGGGGGCGCGTGGAGCCCGGGCCGGCGGGGGGCCCTTTGTGACGCCACAGAGAGCCGCGCTGCCATTGGCGGCCCACCCCCCACCCCCCGGCCGGCTGCCGGTGGCGGCGGCGGCGCGACGGGGAGGGGTCGGGCAGCGGGCGCGGCACCGGCCCGGGCGGCGGCGGCGGCGGAGCGGGGCGCACGGGCTTCGGCTCCGGCGCGCTCCGAGCGCTCGCTCGCTCTCCCTCCTGTCTGAGGCAGCTCCGGCGGCGGTTCCGGCGGCATCTCCGGCTCGGAGGACCGCACTTGGTCCCGCGCCCCGGCTCGGCTCCCGGAGGCTCGGTCCCCGGGGCGGCGGAGCAGGCGGGCGGATGCGCCGGGGGCCCGGGGCCGCCATGCGGGCCGAGGTGGCCTCGGCCGCCGGCTTCATCACGCGGCTGCTCCGCGGCCCCGGGGGCTTCGCCGAGGACCAGCTGCAGCTCTTCCGCGAGTCTCTGCAGGAGGCCCTCACAGGTAATCTGTCCGTCAGTCCTTCCGTCAGTCACCGGGACCGAGGGGGGCGGGGCCCGGGGTTGGGCTGGACGGGGCGGACGCCCAAAGGCAGGCCGCCCGTCGGAGCTCGCAGCCCTGTTGGTCCCGATCTCCACGGGCGCCAGACCCCCACCCATTCTGTCCTCCGTTCCCCCTGCCCCAGCCCCCCTCCTCTTTCCCTGCCTCCATGGTTCCTTCGGCGCCTCCCTTGCGCAGATCACTACCAGCACCACTGGTTCCCTCGGACGCCGTCGCGGGGCTCCGGTTACCGCTGCATCCGCATCAACCACCGCCTGGACCCGCTGGTGGGGCGGGCTGCGGGAGAGAGCGGGCTCAGCCCCCGGCGCCTCTTCCAGCTGCTGCCCCGAGAGCTGACGCTGTGGGTGGACCCGTCCGAGGTGTCCTACCGCATCGGCGAGGACGGCTCCATCGGGGTTCTGTACCGCGGACCCCCGGCGCGCAGCCCGCCCATCGGCGCCCCCGACGGCCGGGGCTCCCGCTACCCCGGGGAGTGGCGGCGTGGGCCAGCCCGGACGGCCGCCTGAGGCCTGAGGTCGCGGCCTCCCGGGCCCTGTACACTGTGTATGTATGTAGTGTGTGTGTGTCTGCTTTGATAATGCACAGAGAGGATGTAATGGAAATGCTGATTTTCACCCCCTAGCCATTAAAGTTGGAGTAGTAGTACCTGTACCTACCCTGCGTGCCCTGGCGGCCCCGGGCCCCCTCCTCCTCCTCCTATTCCTCCCACCCTCTTTTCCCCCGTCCTTTTCCTCCCCCTCTTCCCCTTCCTCATTCTCTTCCTTTTCCTCCTCATCTTCCTCCTGTGTCCCGAGACTGCCCCCCCCCCGGCTCCCTCCCGGGGCCGTCTCGGCCCGCCGCACCGGGTGGGGAGGGGGGCCCCCAACCCAGATCTTGGGGATCGGGGCTTGTAAATGAAATGTACAGTCTGGTTGTTTTTCAGAGTTCTATTTTGAGAGAGTGAATGAATGAATCCCTGGCTCCTTGTAATAAAAGACCGAATGCTTGTACCCGGGGTTGGCTGTTCTGTTCAATTCCACTTCCCCCACCCCATCCCCAGTAGCATAGACAGACGCACAGAAAGACCACCGACAGGTGTATCTGGGAGAAGGGGGAAGGGAGAAGGGATACGACGGCGGCGGCTGCCTTTGGGGAAGATCTGGCCATCCTAGCCAGCTGAGTGGCTCCGGGAAGCTGCTTTCAGGGCTATCCCTGGGCTAATCTCAGCGGCCCAGAGCCACGATCAGGACTCAGTCTTCTAGTCTTAGCTGCAGTTTGCAGGTGTGGGGGATGGGGGATGCCGGATGCCTTTAGCCTGGCTTTTTGTTTGATAATTCTGTTCTTCTGATTTCTGACTGGCTAGATGAGTTAACCTGTCGGTCCTGGGGATGAACAATCTCTCCCGCTGTGCCCCTAACTCTCCCTGTGACCTCGGGATGTCCAGACTTAGGGCTGGATAGCACTGACTAGATCTGGGCTTGGTCTAGACCGACTCCACTGTTCTCAGTGTGCACACAGCTCTTTTGAAGCTGTGGTCCCCCGGGTTTGTCCTGCTTGAGAGCTCGCGGGGGTGGGGAGCTACGTCTATGTCTTACCACGAGGGGACAGGACGCCTGGGGCCATCGTTTGTCCCCAGGCGTTCTCCCTACTGTCCAAGGGCTGCTCTGGAGGCTTGTCCTCTGGCAAAGACAAATCAGCCCAAGGGGAAGTCTGCTCCCTGAACAATGATGGAGCCTGGCAGCCAGCAACTCAAGGCCTACTTGGAGCAATCGAGGGACTAAGATTTTGTTTCTTGGTTTTAGTAAAGAAGAAAAAAGGTGGGGGAGGAGTCCAGACCTGGGATTTCATGTGTGTGTGTATGGGGGCTACTGCCAGTGCTGGTAGCCCCTCCCTCCTGGGGGCTCTGAGAAGTTAAGGGCCTGGGGGGAGGAAGTTCTGCCAAGCTGGATTTGTGTCAGAACCAGGAATCGGACCCAGGTTCTTCTGAGTCTCTGCTTTGGGATTCCCAGATTTGCACGGTGACTATCTCCTGAAATTTAACAAGGGCAAAAGAAAAAACCAGTAACCTACATTGTGATAACAAAGATTGTTTTTGAACATCTTCCCTTTTGTTGGGTTTGCCAGTTTATGTTTCTGATGCACATTCCCAATGGCAAGGAGAGGTGTAAGATAATATTCACTTATTAAGTGTCAGAAGGAGGATTTGAACTCAGATGCTAGGCCTGTTACTACCACTGTAGTGGTATGCACAAAGTTCAACAGCTAGCCCCTCTAAGGTCCATGCCAACAGACACTCCGAAAACAGTCTGTCTAAACATACGCAGATGTACACACAGCAATGCACGTGACACACCCTAAGCCTGTGAGGAGCAGTTACAGGAAGGCTAAGGAGAAAAGGTCGAACGAAGACAGCTTAGAAGGTGAGAACCTCTCTTTCCTAGGACTCTAGACTGCCCTGGGTCATCTGTCCCGGCTTGAGCAGACCATTTTTACCCCATTTTCTTGTATGAGCTTGGACAAGTCCTTTCCTTTCTTCAGGACTCAGTTTCTTCTTCTTTAAAAATGAAAGTCTTGGTGCTTTCCAGGTTCTCTTCCAGCTCTTAGGGTTTCACTTTAAGACACATGACATGTATTTTGGGGTGAGGGAAACCTGAAAGCACTGGGGACAGGGCACTCGGGTAATCTTCCTTAACCTCTGAAACTGTCCTCTCCATTTACTAAAGAAAAGCAATTCTCCCCGTGTTTCACGGCAAAGATGACACTGTATCCTATTGTCTATTCTGTTCCTTAGCAATTCTTCAAATTCTCCTTCATTTGCCCGAGCCAATGTTTTACTTTGTGAGCTGGACAAGAGCTGTGACCTTTCACACTTGGACGAGACAGCCAGAGTTCAGGGGCAAGAGCGGACCAGACAGCCGCTGCTCCTGCTCAAACGCCTTCAAAGGTTAAAGGCATCCTGAGGGCCGACAAGCCTGTACTCCCAGCCCAGAGAAGTACTAGGGAGGTTGAGGCAGGCAAGAGAAACCCATAAGGTTGGGTGGGAATAGGTTGGGGATGGGGAATGGAGGCGTGGGGGCTGCCCACAGAAGAGAGGAGGAAGACCTTTGTGTTTAAGGTAGACAAAAGTGTGAGAACAATTAGCGATACTTGGACTCTGGCCAAGATTAGTTTGAGCACCGAGGGAAATCAAGAACAGCCAGGCTGGGAGCAAAGAACAGACCACAGCTCAGCTGTATCACTTCGAAGGGAAGCTGGGGAGTTGTGATCCAGTGGGTCAGGCTGGAAGCTGTCCCACCCCCTCCCCAACCCTGGCTGCTAGATCTCAGCCAAGCCTTTTAGTTTCCAGGGCAAGAAAGTGAAGCCGGCCCCTCTTCCAGTCCAGCACACAAGGCTCAGAGCTTGGGGCGGCTCTTCACCCTCCACTCCAGGCACTCAGATGGTGCCCTTGGGGAGCCTCGAGGGCAGGAAGCTTTTCTGCCTTGTCTGTGGTGTCTCAGACCCCTCTGGCAGTGTCCTGGGGAAAACTCTAGAGCACATCTCAGAAAGATGTTTTTAAAAAGCATGAAATACAAAGGATCACAAAGCAAACGAATTCTGTGGAAACACTTAACAAAGCATTCACAAAAGTTCACTTATGGACCCCTGACGTTGTCCAAGCTTGAGAGGACAGAGAACTGTACCCATTGCCATGTTCAGCAGGACTGAGTTTACCTCCTAATTTGATTTGTGTTCTCACTGTGTCTGTTTCTCCCAGTGCTTAAGAAACATGGTCCTTTTTAAAAGTGGGCATGACTTGTTTTACCCCTTGGGACAGACTTCACTGTTCCCTGGGATGGCCTGACCTTGCTGGCCTCCTCAGAGAGCTTGCTCTGCTGATGGCTGATGGCTGATGGCAGTGAAGTGGAAAAAGAGAAGGGAGGGGAAAATCGAGAATCCAGCTTCATTCTGGTCCCTAATCCAGGACCGAGGCCTCCAGCTCTGTGGTTACAACCAATGGAGAAAAACGGAGGCCCTTTGTCCAACAGGACACAAAGAAGAGAGAGCAAAGAGCTTGGCAGGGTGCCCTGGGCTCCTGGCCCACCAGCCTGCCCTCCTATGATGCCAGAATTCCGAATTGGTTTTTAACTTATTTTGTATCCTATTAGAATAAAGCCCGCTTGTTATGGGTGCCTCATGACTTCTAGTAATAATGACCAGGGGACCAGTATCATCTGATATCACCTGAGCTCTGGATCCTGTCTGCAGTTGGGGCTGGAGAATCCCCAAACACACATTTTGGGGAGTCGTTAAACCTAAAATAAAAAGCTTGCTATTTCTAACCAGCTGTCTGACCTTTGTTGGTCTGTTCTTATCACTGTAAAACACATTTTTCCTCAGACAGAAAACTCCAGGGCCAATAACAATGAGCATTAATAGGCTTTTACAAAAAAAACGGTCCCATCAGATTCCCCCCAATGACCCTTGGAGGTAGAGGTGAAGACTTTCCACAGTCCTCCAATCTGGAATCCCAGGCCCCTTATCAACACTGCCTCAGGCCAGTCAGGCCTCAGCCCTCCCAACAAGGTCACCTTTGTGCCCACACACCTCCCCCACCCTCTCAGAGAAGAACTCTGCCCCGCCATGATGAGCATCCTCTTCTTCTCTCTTCCTCATCTTCTACCACATCAATGCCTTCTACTACTATAGCCTTCTTTCCTCTTGCCTCCTGTGGTAAGATGACCTTACTCTTTACCCAGGCCAACCCCTTTACTTGCTCAGCCAATCCCATCCCATCCCTTCCCCTCCAACAGACTGCCTCCTCTGTCATTTAATTTTAATCTTTCCCTCTCTACTGTCTGCAAACATGCCCATGTCTCCCCTATCCTGGAAAAACCCTCACTTGATCCTTCTGTGCCTGCTAACTTTCATCCTGTATCTCTTCTGTCCTTTGTGGCTAAACTCCTGGAGAAGGCCGTCTATACCAGGGACCTCCACTTTCTCCCCTCTCACTCTCTTCTCAATCCCTTACAGCCTGGCTTCTCTGACCTTGTCCTTCCACTGAAACTGCCCTCTCCAAAGTCAACAGTGATCTCCTAATTGCCAAACCCAGTGGCCTCTTCCCAGTCCTCACTTTCCTCAGCCTCTCTGCAGTCTCTGACACTATTGGTCACTCTCTCTTACTTGACTCTCTCCTCTCTCGGGGTTTTCAGGACGTCCCTGCTCTCTCCTGGTTCTCTTCCCACTTCTCTGATGGCTCCTTCTCTGTCTCCATTGCTGAATCCTCCTTCAGATCACCTTCTCTAACCATGGGTGTCCCTCAGGGGTCCTCTTCTCCCTCTGTCCTACTTCAGTAGGTGATCTCATCAGCTGGACTGAATAACCATCTCTGTGCTGAGGATTCTCAAATCTACCTTTCCTACCCCAATCTCTGCTAATCTCCAATTTTACTTCTCCACCTGCCTTTCAGACATCTAAAACTGGATGTCCAGTAGCCATCTTAAACCCAAATTGTCCAAAACAATTCCTCATTTTCCCCAAGATTCCCCATCTCTCTGGTTGTCCCCCCTGCCTGGAAGGCCTCCACCACTTCCACTGCTGACCTGGCCAGCTTCCTTTAAGTCCCAGCTCAAATCCCACCTTCTGCAGGAAGCCTTCTGCTTCCAGGGCCTTCCTTCTGTTAATTATGTCCTACTTATCCTTTCCTAGCTTGTTTGCACATGTTCACTTGCTCATTATCTCCCCCCTCCCCGCACATTGTGAGC